CGACGGCCGGCTGGACATCGTACGATATCTCGTTGAGCACAAGGCCGACATCAGCATTGCCAATAAGTACGGCAACACTTGTTTGATGATCGCCGCTTACAAGGGCCACACCGACGTTGTTTACTTCCTGCTGGAGCATAGCGCGGATCCTAATGCCAAAGCTCACTGCGGGGCTACTGCGCTGCACTTTGCCGCAGAAGCCGGGCATCTGGATATCGTGAAGGAGCTGGTACGATGCCAAGCAGCTATGGTGGTTAACGGACACGGCATGACGCCACTGAAAGTGGCGGCCGAAAGTTGCAAGGCGGACGTCGTAGAGCTGCTGCTGTCGCATGCGGATTGCGATGTACCTAGCCGCATTGAGGCATTGGAACTGCTTGGAGCGTCTTTCGCCAACGACCGTGAGAATTACGACATTCTTAAGACCTACCACTACTTGTACCTCGCCATGCTGGAGCGATTTCGCGATCCCGAGAGGGTTATCGCCAAAGAGTTGCCGTCTCCTGTTGCGGCGTACGGAGGGAGGGCCGAGTGCCAAAATTTGCAAGACTTGGATGCCATTCGACACGACCGGGATGCACTACACATGGAAGGCCTCATGATTCGCGACATGGCATGACGCCACTGAAAGTGGCAGCCGAGAGCTGCAAGGCGGACGTCGTAGAGCTGCTGCTGTCGCATGCGGATTGCGATGTACCTAGCCGCATTGAGGCATTGGAACTGCTTGGAGCGTCTTTCGCCAACGACCGTGAGAATTACGACATTCTTAAGACCTACCACTACTTGTACCTCGCCATGCTGGAGCGATTTCACGATCCCGAGAGGGTTATCGCCAAAGAGTTGCCGTCTCCTGTTGCGGCGTATGGAGGGAGGGCCGAGTGCCAAAATTTGCAAGACTTGGATGCCATTCGACACGACCGGGATGCACTACACATGGAAGGCCTCATGATTCGTGAACGAATTCTGGGTGTGGATAACATAGACGTGTCACATCCCATAATATATCGCGGCGCGGTCTACGCCGACAACATGGAGTTCGAACAGTGCATCAAACTCTGGCTGCACGCCTTACATCTACGCCAGCAAGGAAACCGCAACACGCATAAAGACCTCTTGAGATTTGCGCAAGTGTTCTCGCAAATGGTCCACTTGAAGGAGCCGGTCCGCGCATCGGACGTTGAACACGTTTTGAGCGCCAGCGTCCTAGAGATCCGCCGCAGCGTGTCGCGCTTGCGAACCACCACCGATGCGGAAATGCTGGCGGCCACCGACAGCTACGAATCCAACGTGTTCACTTTCCTCTACCTGGTTTGCATCTCTACGAAAACGCAGTGCAGCGAAGAGGAACGAGCGCGTATAAACAAACAGATCTACGACTTAATACGCCTAGATCCGCGATCCCGAGAGGGGTTGTCGCTTTTGCACCTAGCGGCTAGCTCTAGTACGCCAGTAGACGACTTCCACACCAACGACGTGTGCAGTTTTCCAAATGCGCAAGTGACCAAGCTGCTTATAGACTGCGGAGCGCAGGTAAACGCCGTGGACCATGAAGGAAACAGCCCTTTACACCTCATCGTACAGTACAACCGTCCCATCAGCGACTTCTTGACCCTCCACGCCATCATCATCAGCCTCGTCGAAGCCGGCGCTCATACGGACATGACCAACAAGCAAAAGAAGACCCCGCTTGATAAGAGCACAACGGGCGTTTCTGAAATCCTTCTGAAGACGCAGATAAAGATGAGTCTGAAATGCCTGGCGGCTCGCGCCGTGCAGCAACATCAGATCTTGTATCGGGACCAGATTCCCAAAAGCCTGGAGGAGTTTGTTGAATTTCACTGACCTGTGCGTTTGTTTTTCCATCAGATCTGGTTTTTGGAGTTTGTTTTAACCTGTGAAACGGTGCTGTGAACCCCTAATTTGACCTCGTTTAGTGCTCTGCACGGATTGCAAGTCTAGAAAATGTAGAAAATATACATCCGTTTGGGAGATCTAACTAAATCTAACTGCAGCATTTTATCCCAAAGGAACTGGAGTTTCCAGTTTCATTCTGGTTCTTTTTTTAACAAATCAAAGAGGATGCTAATGCTGATGGATACTGGCAGCGCAAAAGACTCTTATTTTGAAAACGAATACGTTTCTTCTTTTGGCAGACTGTAGTCATGACAATGTGAACAGCTTTTTTTATTAAGCTGCTCTTTTGTCAAAATTTTCATATTTTTTGTTTTCTTAACATATTTTATAAGAGGTTTATTTAAAACAGAGTGAAAAATGTCTATTTTATAATGAATCAATAGCCGAGAGTTGATATCCTAAAGCTAAACTCCGTGTCAGGTGGTTTCTTTTATTTGAATATTAAAATGTGCCTGTAACCAGAAAGTTGGACTATTATTATTATTATTATGGTTCTTTTTTTTTTAATCCATGATGCCACTTCAAAGCCAATTAGCGAGTCTGTAATTCTGACTCGCATTAATGAACACGTGCTGGAGCTCTTTTTGAGTCACGGGGCCTTTTTCTGGATGGTGCTGTTGTGTGAGTGTGTGAGCAGCATGTCTTCCTGCTTTTAGCTCTGTGTGTGTGTGTGTGTGTGTTTGAGAGCATGTCTGCTTGAATGTGGCCGAATGTGAAGGTTTTTAACCCTTTTTGTTTGCACCATGTTTTATTCTTTAATTACTGAAGATTGATCAACAAGTTTTTATTTCCAAACCAAATATAACAAGATTAAAAACATCGATCTAAGACACCTGTCAGACTCTGTGTGATTCTGCCGCATTTGAATTGCAATTTTTAAAGGAATAGTTCACCCAAAAACGAAAAATTTGGAGAAACCAAGATTTGGAGAAATGTAGCATTCCAAGACTTGCTCAGCAATGGATCCTCTGCAGTGAATGGGTGCCGTCAGAATGAGAGTCCAAACAGCTGATAAAAACATCACAATAATCGACACCACTCCAGTCCATCAGTTAATGTCTTGTGAAGTGAAAAGCTGCGTGCTTGTAAAAAAACAAATTTCCACTTTAACTTCAAACCGTCGCTTCTGGCCAAAATATGACTCCATAATCCAGTGAAGAAGTCCATCACCTGTTGTCTCTCACATCAAAATCCTCTCACATATTTATTTAGAGCTGTTTTGGCTAGTAAACAGTGCTTGATCTGTGCAGATTTCTTGTCCTGATTCAGACAAGATGACATTTTCACTGGAGGAAGCGTTATGGATCGAGGACTTGTATTTTTAGGAAGAAACAGAAGGTTTGAAGTTAAAGTGCCTTAATGATGTATCTATTTATTAAACACATAGCCTGTCACTTTACAAACTTAACTGGTAGACTGGAGTGCTGTGGATTATTGTGATGTTTTTATCAGCTGTTTGGACTCTCATTCTGACGGCACCCATTCACTGCAGAGCATCCATTGCTGAGCAAGTCTTGGAATGCTAAATTTAGAACTATTTCTTAAATAAGGGAATTCAAAAACAAATATTTAGTCTTTTAAATCAAGGTGATTTATTCAGTGGTCCGATTAAAAGCACATGACAAACATTCAGCTGTCATCTTTACATGCAATAAAATGGTGACATAAATGACAACAATTAAACCGACTGACCATCGAATCACCACGGTGTCTTAAACTGTGAAAGCTGTGAAGCCATGTCAGAAGAAAATACTGTCTGAAAACATGACTGTTTAGAACAGAACCATCAAACTACTTGAAGTATGTATAGTGTGCACAGTATGCTTTTTATGCATCGCATGACCTACATTTATCAAATTGTGCACACTGCACTGAATAACCTTATAACCATCAATGCAATGCATTTAACTTGATCTTTCACATTTCCAGTGTGATGAATGGATTGTAAATTTGTCTTACTAATAATTTGGTCAGGGTGACATCCTCATAAATACTTTGACTTTAAATGTAAATAACCTTATATGGTTTACACATGGAATAATGCATACCATTTCACTTAGTATTTTTTAAATAGTCTGCAGTATACGGTGTGCTTGTAAGTAGTAGACTAGTATTCCGTTCTGAACACAGACACTGTTATTCGAGACCGCGATCATGAAAAAATTAAGTGTTTAAGGGTAGTTGAGATGTCAAGAATATTTTATAAATTTCTAGCATTTTTGTCTAAGTCTTATGATAATATTAATGGAGAAATTACATATGTCGTACTTTTACAGTATTTTTTTTTTTGGATATCACACTACAGAAATATATATATATATATATTAGTGCTGCCAAATGATTAATTGCGATTAATCACATCCAAAATAAAAGTTTTTGTTTACATAATATATTTTCATTCATGCTGGAGTACATTCAAATATGGCGCATCAAGCATCAGGACAAGTTTGAGCGTTGTAGTAAAAAACAGTGCACATTTATTATGTATATAATAAATGCACACATACAGCATATATTTCAAAAATATTTACATGTATATATTTATATTTATATAATTTATATTATATATAAATATATTTAAAATATAAACAACATATTTTCCATAAATATATACATGCATATGTGTGTATTTATATATACAAAATAAATATACACAGTACACATACATATTTTATGTAAACAAAAACTTATTTTCGATGCGATTAATCGTTTGACAGCACTAACATATATATATATATATATTGTTTTGCATTATTTATGACAGCACATTTGCAGTCAAATAAAAAAAAATATTGCAAATAAAAGGCAAGAAATAAGTCTGAATAAAAAAGCAAAATGTGAATGTTTATTTCAACTACCCTTAAACACTTTTACCAGTTTTGATGATGAAAAACACAGAAATACACATGGAAGCAATACTTCCGATTCCAGCTGCAATGTACTGTATATAAAATTGTGATTATGACAATATCTCAAATACATGAACCTTGAACAGATGTTGCAACCAACTGCATTAAGGTGCATAAGTTCATGGTTAAATATTTTTTTTTATCATAGTTTTACATTATATTGCTGAACTTTTTAAAAATATTTACACAGTTCAAGTTCAAAATTCTTTACAATGTGCAAGTGCAACCGCTTGAATTTACGCTGCAACAAACAAACAAAAAAAGTCTTAGGATTCTGTTCCACAATCTGAGGTTTGTTTCGTGAAATGCAACAAATTTATCAGCACCAAAACCTCTCAAAATGGTTCAACCCGAAGCCTCTTCATTAGTGTTTTTTCTTCCGTTGACTAGGACTTTCCACCTGTTTCCAAAGTCTCATACTACGTGAAATTTCTTCCTCATAAACCGCATCTTCACATCTTCTGTCTTAATTGGCAGCACGGCCAGGGGAAGCGAGCTGATTGGTTCTGCATCGGACTGCAGGAGGGCGTGGCAGTGCTCGAGAGGAGCTGATTGGCTGACACACACCCGTGTCTGGAGAGTCCCTGAGTGATTGGCTGAGGAGGTTGCGGCGGCATTACCGATCCTCTGCTGTCTTCTCATTGGTCGCCTGCTCTTCCCTCTTTCGCCTGCTGAAGAATCCAAGCTGCGGATGAAAGAAAAACTGAAAAATAGTTTCGAATCAAATAGCGGAAGCGTCCTGAGAGATTTGACCTTAAAGGGGTCCTATTATGCTTTTTCACTTTTTTAAATTTTAGTCAGTGTGTATGTTTGGGCATAAAAAAGATCTAGAAAGTTACAAATCTCAAAGTCCACTCCAAAGGGAGATATTTCGTTTAAAAAAAATCCCTTTTCAAGAACTACAATGAACGGCTCGTTTGGACTACAGCGTTTGGTTTCCGGGTTTTGTGATGTCACAAAGCGGCTCATTAGAATTTCATTACAAATAATTCCCGCCTACAGAAATGTGAATGGTTGGGGGGTGGGGAGGGGCGAGGTTGTGGTTAGAGCGCTTGGTTGAGTGAGTGCTTCAGATGAGACGACGACGAAGAAGTGCTGCTGCAGAGTTAGTGCGTCAGAGAAAACCAAGAAGAAGAGCTGCTGTGCTGTAGCGTCCCATTTTCGGCATGTCTAGAACAATTCTTACAAGTACAACACGACGTAGCTGGGCGCCTCGTACAGACGCCGCCGGTGTGCCTACACTCTTACACGACGTAGCTGGGTGCCGCGGACAGACGCTGCATACATACGTTCATATTAGCTTGGTAACTGTGAATAAAAACCGTCTCAGACCTTCCAGAGGGCCAGTACAAGCAGGGCCAGAAGCTGCAGTCCTCCCAATGTGCTCCCAACAATCACCCAGATGGGAATCCGGTAATCTTCCTCCTTCCTAATCTCCAGGATTATCTACAGAACCAAAATCCAAAAGCTTAAAAAGTCAAATTCTTGGAAGAATCGGGTATACAAGATCAGGCCTCATATGCAAACCTGCACAAATGAATGTTAGAAGATGTGTGTGTGTGTGTGTGCGATTAAATTGACTAACACTGTATTTTTGCACCAGTTATCAAGTAAAAAAAGACTGATTTATCCATAAGGGGGCAGCACATCACTGTGAAAAGTCAAATTCTTGGAAGAATCGGGTATACAAGATCAGGCCTCATATGCAAACCTGCACAAATGAATGTTAGAAGATGTGTGTGTGTGTGTGCGATTAAATTGACTAACACTGTATTTTTGCACCAGTTATCAAGTAAAAAAAGACTGATTTATCCATAAGGGGGCAGCACATCACTAGAGTTATTTTAGTTCTCAGAAGAATTTGTTCATTTTTCACATTTAGTTTCTGTAAGCAACTGGTCTTTCTTTCTCATTACACCGGTGCGTGTCACACTAGCTTCTACTTCCAGCACAAGCAAATGTAATAAAGGAACTCAGATGCATCATTACATATCCATGAAGTGTCTCATGTACAGCATTCTGGAGGTACTCACGTGTCTCATGGGTCGTTCCTCGTGGAGGAACATCGGACTTGAAGGGCTCAACTCAACTACAGCCGTCATTACCAGATCTAAGCGTTTAAATTTCACCTGAGGAATGAGATGAGGAGGTTTATTAATCGCATCTCTGCAAATAAACAGCTCATAACAATTTAAAGTCCTCTTCGATATGTCCTGCACCAACTTGCCGTTTCAATAGGAAATTAGCACAAAAGCTTGCTTTGGGAAAATTGACATGTATAGTTAGAGGAAAAGTAGATGCATTTAATAATATATGCATCCCTTTAAATAATTGGTTAACAAGTAGATAACGTGGAACGTAAAATAATAATGATAATAACCAAACAATAATGTGAACAAATGCCTGATGTGAGAAATTATTATTATTTTACAAGAACAGATACTAGACTGATAAATGTTTTTTTTTTGTTAATTTATTATTATTATTTTTAAAGTATAATGTGTGTGTTTGTGTATATACAGTGTATATATATATATATATATATATATATACAATAAAATATTGCACATATATATTTTTATTATATTATTTATTATATATGCTGGGGTGGAAAAGTTCTGTATGGTTCGGTATTTTGTTGTTGTTGTTGTTCCATTGGATAATACAATCAAATTTTATAAAAATATAACTGAAAAAAGAAAGAAAACCTTTATACAATTTGTTAACAATTAGGTAAAGTGGCATTTAAAATCATCATGACTGTGAACAAATTCCTTATGTGAAAAATTATTATAACAGGTACTGATAAATATAACTGTAATTTATTTTCCTGTTAATTTCCTCTTGTCCTTTTATATGTGTGTGTGTGTGTGTGTGTGTGTGTATATATATATATATATGTGTGTGTGTGTG